ATGGTTCTTTCTTCTATTTCCTTTTATTTTCCTCTTGTCCCATCATCGTGTTCGGCCTTCATTTGGGTTTAGTAATTCCTTGTTGCAACATTGCCCTTGAACAGGCCCCACTAGGCATCCTACGCCCTTCTCTCCATTGATTTTAGTTCACTTGTTGATTCCTTGTCCCTGGGTTGGTTACCCACCCCCTTCTTTTCTCCCACCTCCTCTTCTCCCGTATCCCCCGGGAACGGTCTGTTCTGTGGTTTTCATCTCCAAATGGTTTATCCCGCCTATCTTATATAAGTAGATATGCAGAAACATTAAGAAACGCAACAACCAGGCAAAGCCAAACAAAACAACAAAGGAACACAAAACCAACAAAACAATAACAACAAAAAACAAAATAACAACAACGAAAAGAAAGTCAATGACAATAAAGGAAAAGCCTACAAAGAGTTCCAGGTCTGGTTTTTGACCTTTACGAGTGTTTTCCAGTGGAGTCTGATGGGATGCCACACTATGTCACCAAAGTCTATTTTTGGTATTCTCTGGAGATTTCATCAATTTGCTCCCCTTGCTACTCTGTTGCATACCCTTGGTGTTTCACCCCAGTGTACTGGGGTCAGATTGGGCACAATTCCTGCACTGTGTCTCCAGTGTTGTCTCCCATAGCATTAAGGTTCAGTGAGGGACATCATGTCTCGTGGTGGGGCCAAACCTTTGGTCCTCTCTTTGCATTGTCTGCTCTGAGCAGGAATATCGTCCTCGGGGCTTGGTGGTCCAGGGTGTGTTCCCCTCCCTCTCCCTCCCTCTTCGTTTCTCCTGTGTGTTCTAATCAGACGTGCCCCTCTTCCCAAGCTGTAGCTTCAGTGCAACCTTCTAAAGTGCATTTTTCTGACAGGGAAGAGTCCACATAGTTGGGATTGGGAGCGGCCCCACAGACCTCTCTATTAGTTCCCTGGTACATGCCAGTTTATTGTATTCATGTCTTGGCACACCAGGTTGAAGCCTGGTCTCTCTCTCTCCCTCTCCTGTGGAGATATAAGTAACACCTTCCCCTCAGTGGACTCTTGTTTTACTTGTCCTTTTGTGCTTGGCTTACTTTGCTTAGCATGATTTCCTCCAGTTCTTCCCATGCAGCAATGTGCTTCATGCATTCATTGCTGTATTTTAGGGATGCTTAGTACTCCATTGCATATATGTACTATAGTTTTTTTGGTCCATTGATGGAAATTTGGGTTGTTTCCAACTCCTTCCAATTGTGAACTGTGCCACGATGAACATTGAAGCACAGATATCTGGCCATTGTTTGTTTCTTGCCTCTACTGGGTATATGCTCAGTAGGGTGATTGATGGATCATATGGTAACTCACTTTCCATCTGTTTTAGATATCGCCAAATCAATTTCCATAATGTCTGTATATATGTACAGGTCCACCAACAGTGGATGAGAGTTCCTATCTCACCACAGCCCCTCCAACACTTGTTACTTTCTGATTTTTAGAACTGGGCTATCTTTGAAAGTGTTAGGTGGTATCTCATGGTTGTTTTAATTTTCATTTCTCTCATGGCTAATGATCAGGAACATTTTCTCATATGTTTATTGACCATTCAGATTTCTGCCCCCGTGAAACTTTTGTTCAGGTCCTTTGCCCACCTCCTTAGTGGGCAGTTAGTCTCTCTCTTATTGTAAGCTTACAAAGTATTGTAGCTTGTAGTAATAAAGCCTTTGTCTGATGTGTCATTGCTAAAGATGTTTTTTCCAGTCTGTTGGCTCTTTTACTACTCTCTTAATGAATTCTTTTGATGAACACAGGTGTTTATAATTGACAGTATATCCCCTTGTCAATTAGTGACTCATCCTTATTTGTATCCTTCCCTATTTATGATAGCCAGTGTATTCCCTGAGCCAAAGTTCTCATGTTTGTACCAATTCCCTCTTTGATGACCCTAATAGTTTGGGGTTTTACCTCAAGCTCTGTTGTCCACCTTGAGTTTATTCTTGTGGATGGAGTGAGATAAGGGTCTTGCTTTATTTTTATGCAGGTAGGTAACCATTTTTTCCAGCACCACTTGTTGAAGAGGGCATCCATTTCCCATTTGATACTTTTGGGGCCCTTATCAAACATTAGTTGTCTGTATGCTGGTGTTTTCATTTCTGGGTTTTCAGTTCTTTTCCATTGGTCTGAGTATCTGTCATCATACCAATACCACACTATTTTGACCACTGTGGCTGTATAATAAGTGCTGAGGTCAGGTAGAACAAGCCCCCCACTTTGTCCTTCTTCTTGAGGAGTTCTCTGCTAATTCTGGGCATTTTTCCTCTCCATATGAAGTTGGTAATCAGTTTTTCCAATTTTTTAAAGAAGGCTGGTGTTATTCATATCGAGATAACCTTAAACATATATAGAGCCTTTAGCAGAACAGATAGCTTTACTATATTAAGTCTTCTAATCCACAAGCATGGGATATTCTTCCATTTGTTGAGGTCACTCTTGGTTTCTTGTAATAGTGTTCTCTAATCTTCCTTGTACAAATCTTTTGGTTTTTAGTCAGGTATATCCCTAGATATTTCAATTTGTACTTGGCTATTGTATAGGGTACTATCTTTTTAATTGCCTCTTCTGTGAACTTGTCTGATGTGTATAGTAGTCCAATACACTTCTGTTTGTTGATTTTGTATCCTGTCTCTCTGCCATATACCTCTATCTCTTCCAACTTCCACTTGTGGACTTTTAAGGATTTTCATTAAATGAAATCATATCATGTGCATGCTGTTCAGAGGTCAATGTACAAATGGATTTGTACGAAGGTGGCACATGCTAACTTCCATCCAAGGCCTGATGTGAGGGAGACCTAGAAGTAGACCACACACTATGATGACAGGGTTCAGGAGATGGCTGCTGTGTCCATGAGAGATGAAAAAGGCTGGTGGTAGGGCACATGGATTGGGAGGGGAGCAAGGGGGTGAGTATTCAGATGTGGGTTGTGAGGAAGGGTCTTTTCCTGTCCTGGACAGGAGGAGACCCTCCATGAACACCGAGGTGACCTGCTCCATTGAGCACCTAAATGTGAGAGTGTGGGGACCTCTAGGGTGCTGCACAGGCTGGGCCTGAGCCCAGGAGCAGGGAAGGACCAAGTCTACAGGGATCAGATTTCCCTCTGTGGGTGGGTGAGGATGGGAGTGAGGAAGATGTGGTGACTGTGAGGGACACTAGTCAGTTCCTCTTCCCTTGTGGTCACAGGCAGAGTGAGAGCAGCAGGGACTTGGCCTGTGAAACGAGTCTTCCGACAGTTTCTATGGAGGAATGTCTACTCTGAAACAGCATGAGACGCCACCTGGAGGTTTGAGTATAGGGTCCCAGGGTTTAGTTGAGCTCAACAGCCCCAGAGCCTTGGCCAGGGGCTCAGAGAGTAGAATTCAGTGTTTAGAGAGCTCCATGCTGGGTGATGTGTTGTGGTTCCAAAGGCAGGGTCTGGGCTCAGAAGTTAGGCATGAGAAACTCTCCCCATGTTGCACTCAGAGAGTCCTGAGTCTCAGTGCCGGGAGACTCACTGGGGTGGAAGCAGGCCCTTAGCCTCTCTGTGGGTGCTGCAATTGGCCCTGCAGGGTGTGGCAAAGGATGTGGCCAGGGATTGTTACTGCATTTTTGTTTCCTATTTTTCTTAGTAGCTGAGACCAGAGGAGGCCGCCATTGTCCCAGGATCTGCAGGGCAGTATGAGGAGAGCTGAGCATGCTCCTTGTTCAGTCCTGCTCTTGTGAATCCCACTCTTTCCTGTAAGTGTAGACCCCTTACATCAGCTCTCAATTTATGTCTTCCAGATCATCATAGTACCTTAGAAATGATATTTCAGTGAAAAGTCATGGAAGAATGAACGTGGGTCTTCAGGGAAGTCTTCCCAAATAAAGAGATGTCATGGTCACAAAATGAGGTGAAGCATCCTTTTTGTTTAGTGTCTTCCCATGCTGCAACGAAGTCTTGTGTGGCAGATGACCTAATGCAATGTGTTTTTTATCTCGACTGATGCTTCTTTAGAGAATTGCAAAGCAAGGATGTTACTCATAAGCATATGAAAATTGCACCTTGAATAAGGGAGTCCGATGCATCTGCGGGGCTGGAGAAGAAGATGGAAAGTTCCATGCACTGCTCCAAGTACAAGCAGATCTGGCTTGGAAGATGTAGCAGCCGAGTGCTCCTTCATGGCTCAGATTCTGAGACATGGTCCCAAATGCTTTGGACATGTTTTCAGGAGAGGCCAGTGCCTTCAGAAGGACAATTCTTGGTAAAATGGAGGGGGTGGGGTGGGTAATGAAAAGAGGTAGACCTCAAAGAGCTGCATTGATGCAGTGGCTGGCGCCGTGGGCTCAGGCATATGAACAATGTGAGCATGGTGTAGGATCCTACAGGGTGTCTTCTGCATGCACAGGGTTGCTATGACTCAGAACTAACTCAAAGACAGCAACACAACATTACTGGAAGACAGACAACACTTCTGCAGTGTCAGCAGAGCCTGTGACGGTGAGCTTTACTCTTCAGCAAAAGGATCAGCTCGGTTTGCAGCAGTGACTGAAAGTGGGCTCTGGAGGACTTGGCAGTACCTGTCAGGACATTGCTGGGTCCTGAATTCTGGCTCATGCCCACCATGAGTGACCCCAACATCCCCACTTAATGACTGCCCATCACCTCCCTTAAATACGAATGCCCTGAGGGCTAGACCTGTGCACACAGGAGAACGGCAGAGGTCCCGTCAGGGAATCGAGGGCCTGGATTAAGGGGACAGGTGAGTTTCCTTGTGAAGGACAGTATGTCAGGTGGCGGCCACCAGTGCCAAGGCTGAAATAGACAAGAGGGCTCCATACACAACGACTGAGAGGGACCGTGTCTTTGAAGCATCACCACCTACGGTAGCTTCTGCACTGTCCTCTCTGTGAGGCCTTCAGATGGCTCCATAGCCTGAGCTAGCTGTGTTCCCAAGGACCAAGGTCAGGTTATTACAGGGGATAAAAGAATGGGCCCCAGGTTCACGTGAGTTTTATGAAGGTATCATGTTCATGAGCAGAAAGAGACCAAATGAGAGGGAAATATCTCAGTAGTCAGGTCTTTTCCAGATGGTCTGTGGTCACCAGATTGACGACTACAGTCCATTGCCCTGGAAGCCCTGCCCTATTGCAGGCAGCAGGTTGGGAAGCCTTTTTCCTGACTCTGATTGAGCCCGGGTTGAAATGGTCACCTCTTCTCAGCCTCTCTGAAACAGGTCTTGGAGACATTCTTCAGCGTGGGTGGATCTTACAGTAAATGTTTGTGTCAGGTTTAAGTAAATCCTGTGAACAAACAGAAAGATTTAGAGGACTATGAATCACCTGTGACCTTCTCAGAACATGTGCCTACTTTTCCCCTCTGCTCGGAGTCCCACCCAGGTCTTCTCTGCGAGGGGCCTGGCTTTACTCCGGGAGGTCCCCCTTCTGGGACCTCTGTCTGGTCACCACACGAGCAGTCACACGGGCTACTGTTTGCTGAATTCCCGGCAGAGACGGGTGCAGGGGGGTCAGGTTGTGCTCTCCCTTAGGGCTGTGGGTCTAGAACATTCATGGCCCACACTCACCTCATAGATGGGAACAGCCGCCTGGTTGGCATACAGGGGGTGCTGTGCAGGAGAGAGGGAGCACATTAGAGGCAGGTATGGTAGCATTTGTTAAGGCACAGCTCCTCGTGAGCATGCGCCAGCAACCTAGTCTGGGCGGTTCTTGTCCATGACACTCCAGGGTTCATACCCCTGGATGTTCAGATCACTTCTCATCCGGAGTGACCAATTCTGATTTATGATCATCAGTCCTTTGCCTGTAACAAAACCTCATTCCTTCCTGCTGCATCTCCACCACTTCCCCTTCTTATGCTGGGATTCATGATTGTTGCTCCCAGAGACCACTCTTGGCCTGTGGGTCCTCACTTACAGGCACCAGCTTGGATGCTGGGCGGCACAGATGGGACTGGGACAGGGTCCCGGATAGTACCTTTTCCTCAGTGGAGGCCCAGCTCTGGCCAGGGCAGGTATAACTGCGTGGATTTTCCTTGAAGGAGTGGTGGGTCTGTGCTACAAGTGGAGCTTGCAGTCCCCCTGCCCAAAGCCTACACAGCCTACAGGGACCCCATGTTGAAGTGAGGTGAAGGGATTGAGCTTACCATGGAAGCAGAGTTGTCAGATTGATCACGACCTGGTGAGCAGACAAATGAGTTAGCACTATACACAGGGTGTAAATGAATTTGGGATCCTTAGAGGAGTAGAAGCTGATGGGTTCTTAGTCTCCAGAGATTTGGGGCCATGGGATTATCTCCTAGGGAGAGTAACTTGGGATACATTAGGATTAAAGAAGGAATAATTGAGATTGAGGCATAGACTGGACCCTAGGTCCCACAGGTTAGAGCTGACATGGCCACTTTGAAGATCTCTGACTTGAGGCTTCTATGTGTCCCTTCCTGAGTCCACAGGGAGGTCAGAGGCATCAGGGGTGGTGGGCAGGAATGGACACCCAGGGAGACCTCCGGCTCCCAGTTCGGCAGGCTGAACAAATACTCACCAGAGGTGGATGCCGGGGGCTGCTGATGTCCAGGATCACTCTGGCTGCTGCCCAAAGGAAAGTCAGGTTACTTATGAGGATGCAGGCACAGGTCACAGGGTTTGAGGTCAGAGCAGGGGATGAGGAAGGGAACCAATTTCCTGTACGGGGGCTCGGGGTGCCTAGTTCCTCTCTCCATCATGGCTGTGGTGGAGGGGGAGTCACACACAAGGAGCTGAATGAAGACCTTCTCTGGCTGCCACCCAGGGATTCCTGACCCTTAACCACCTCTGGATGGTTTCTGAGGCTCTGTTGAAGGGAGTGGAAAGCCTGGTCTTTCAGCCTCTGAATGACTGTTGGTTTCAACGGCTGACCATGTGCATCACAGCCCAGCATATAAGTACTGCACCATCAGGGCTCCCTATGAAGACCTGAAGAAGCTATGTTGACAAGGGACTCAGAAGAAAAGGATCCAGAAGCAGAGGTCACTCCTGCAGAACTCTGACCCACAGGGACACAGAACACAAGAAGGGCATTTCCAGTGACCACTTGAGTGAATTTGGACAAATAGTAGGAGCTCCTGTTGGCGGAGTAGAGAGCCCCGCTGCACAGTGGTTATACGCTGGGCTGCTAATTGCATGGTTAGCGATTGAAAACCACCAACCTCAATTCCACCTTACAATTGGATTAGACCAGAGCATACACACTGCTATAGATAAGAGGCTGCCACACAGTGAAACCAGGATAGATAAACCTCTCAGGGACAACCATGAGAGTAGAGATACCTGGAGGATTAGGGGAGGGTGGATGGACACAGGGGGAATTGATCACAAGGATCAAGCTCTAATCCACTCCCAGGGGGATGAATAACACAAAAGTGGATGAGGGCCGACCATGAATGATGTAAGATATGGAAATAAAAACTATCACTTATCAAGGGTTCATGAAGAGGATGGGTGAGGGACGGGGAAGAAATGGGGAGCTGATATCAAGGGCTCAAATGGGAAGAGAATGCTTTGAAAATGAGCATGGTGGCTTATGTGTAAATGTGCTTGACACACTGGAGGAATGTATGGATTGTGATAAGAGACATAAGAGCACCCAATAAAAGTATTTGGGGGGAAAAAGAAAGAAAACCACCAGCCTCTCCTCGGGAGAAAGGGGAGGCTTTCGACTCACCGTAGGAGGTACAGTCTGGAGCCCACAGGGCAGTTCTACCCCATCCTACAGGGGGGCTGTGAGTCAGAAGCATCTTGCTGGCAGGGAGTTCCCTGAGAGCTCACTGCCCCAGATCAGCACTGTGGGCTGTGGTCTGAGTGAACTAGCACTGCACAGAGGAGCGGGGCCATAACTGTCCCTACTCTGTAGACAAAGGGACTGTGAGGACCAGTCAGAGGACATCCAAAGGGAGAGAGGAGCCTGGCTAGAACAAGAGGGGAGGTTCCTTGGGAGAGGGACAGAGGCTGGAGAACAGGGAGAGCCAGGACCCCAATCTGAAGGTGGAGCTTCCTTCCTCCTGGCCTGGGATCAGTCTAAGAGCAGGAGGTGAGGTGGAGGGTGAGTCCACCTACCCTTTAGTCCTGGTGCGGAACAGGAAACATCCCAGGGCGGCGACCAGGAACACCCCAACTGCAATCACGATGCCGGTGATGGCCCCAGCAGAGAGGACCTGACCTCCTTCAGACCCGACACCTGCAGTGGACAGAAAGAATCTGGACCAAGATCCAGCCTGGTCAGTGTCATCACCAGCAGGTGGATCTGAGTACATGTTCCCAGGTAATGGTGACACCTCATGGGAAGAGACCTTCTCTTCACCAACACCCGTTTATACTGAGGAGCAACCACTCTCCCCACAGTGGCCTTGAGGGCTGAGCCCTGAATTGCACTCTGTCCTTTAGGGAAAGCCATCCAGGAGCACTCAGGCGTTTTCAGGACTGTGAGTGGGATAGGAAACTCCTCTGAAAATGTTTGTGTTCGTCTACTGCTGGTCCTCGTCAGACTCTTAGCTCTTGGGCTCTCCAAGCCCTCTCCTCACCTCTGCGACCCCTGGGCAGGGACCTCTTAGACAGATTGCATCCTGTCAAGTACATTTCACCTGTGTCTTATCATCATGTGACTGTCCCGTGAGCTATTCCATTGACGATTGCCAAGACCGGGCCCCCTCCACAAACGGAAAGGAATGAAGAAGCTGTGGTTCCAGAAAGTGGGTCTTGTGCTGGGCTGTGCTCAGAGCCCTTCCTTATTGCATGCAGGTTCTGCCTCTTGGTGGGGAGGAGCCTTGTTCCTCTACTGTGCAGAGGGTGCACTTGAGAGCACAGTGACGGGACAAGCGGTGGATAGGACTTGGTGGCAACAACTAGGGCAAGGTTAACCCTGGGACACTTCGTTTCAGAACAAAATGTTCCCACAAACTGGTGCGGCACTGCAAGCACTGATTGTTTGATGCCAACAAATCTGAAAAGCAACTACCTAGCCGACGGATAAAAACCTAAATCCTGAGAGCTCCCTGCTATTGAGTTCATTCAGACCAATGCCAGTCCTGTAGGACACAATAGAACTACCTTGTGCATATCTGAGTCTGTAACTCTTTACTGCAGTAGAAAGCCTCATCTATTTCCTGAAGAGCAACTGGTGGTTTCAAACTCCTAACCTTGTGGATCGCGGCCCAATTTGTAATCACTATGCCACCAGATGATCCATATGTGTGCCTGTTCTAAAGAAAAGTGGTCCAACAAAATTTGCAAATTGCGAATAATATCATTGTAGCATCACATACAAAGAAAATCTTGCTGAAGATAATTCAAAATCAGTCGCAGCAGTATATGGACAAGGAGCTGTTAGAAATCCAATAGGAGTTAGAATAGGACATGAAAGGAGGTATATCAATACTGATCTCAGAAAGATCTTGGCTGAAAGCAGAGTTCCAAAAAGATATTTACTTGTGTTTAGTTGGCTGTGCAAAGACATTGGTTGCCTGAATCCTAAGAAATTATACATACCATTCAGAATAGGAATTCCAGAACACATAATTTTGCTTATACGGAACCTGTATAATGAACAGGAGGCATATTTTAAATATAGGAAATGAGGGCTGTGTCTTTTCACCAGACTTATGTAATTCATGGTTCAGAAGCTCTACGATGTAAAAAGGAATGATTCATCAGGACTGGAGGAAAGCTCTTTACCAACCTGTGATGTACAGACGATGCCATCTTGCTGCTGAAGGTGAAGAGGACGTGAAGCACTTCCTGATGAAGAGAAAGTACTACAGCAGTCCACGTGGATGAAACTCAATGGAAAATAGCCACAACGTGACCAATAGACAAGAGTACCACACGCACAGGGGAGGACTAAGTTGTCAAGTGCTTCAGCTAAGGTGGATCCAGCTAAGGTGGATCCACAGTCAACACTCATGGGAGCAGCAGTCAAAAAATGAAGCACCTATTACATTGTGTAAATCAGCAGCCTAGATCTCCTTAAAATGTTACGGGACAAAGATGTCATTATGAGGCCTCAAGGGCGCTTGACCCAAGTCGTGGTATTTTCAACTGCCTTGTATTCACGTGAAAGTTAGACAATAACTAAAGAAGACCCAAGAAGAATTGATGCATGTGAATTATGATGTTGATGAGGAGCACTGAACGTGCCATGATGGCCAGAAGAACAAGCAATCTGTCTTGGGTAAACACAAGCATCATGCTGGCTAAAGTTGAAGGGACTTGAAAAAGAGACAGACGCTCAAGAAGGTGAATTGCCCCGGCGGCTGCAACAATGGGCTCAAGCATCACCCTGGGGATGACCCGGAACAGGCAGTGTTTGCTCCGTGGTACGCAGAGTTGCTATGAGTTAGAGCTCACTAGATGGCACCTAACATCACAGTTCAGAATACAATTGCTGGAGGAAGGTTTTTCCCACCACTCATCCTCTGATCGGTTGTATGGTGCAGGAGCTCTTGTCCAGGGACAGAGCCATCCTCTCAGTGAGCTGAAAGCTGTGTCCACTGTGGAGTCAAGAGGTGGAGGTTTAGTGTGGCTAAAGAGACAGGCCAGGACTACAGCGGTCTCAAGTTCGGACACTGTGATGTTGCCAGCACACATGGAGGACTTTATCAACGGCTCTTTGAGAATCCAAGGTGACAGTGAGATGGGGCTTGGGGCTGAGGTGAAGACAACCCTTCCCTCACTAGGTAATGGGTGCATCTCCCTGACTGAGCTCTGAACCACTGTGGAGTATCAGCCCATGACCTCTCCTGAACCTGTGTCCAGCAGCCTTGACATCAGGTGGGATACGTGACCCCTGTGGTCCTTTCTCAATGCTTTGTGTGACTATATAATGATAGGTCAGTTCTCTAGTGGACACCTTCATGTATAGAGAGAAGCTGGGTTCACAGCTCTCCACCTCTGAGTTAAAACCCAAACCAAATGAAAATCACTGCCTGCCACCCCCGTGAGGTTCTGAGACTTCATCTCTTTCAGGGAGTAAAAAGCCCCCCCCCCATCTTTTTACCTCTTTCTGGGAGAAGAAAGCCCTCATCTTTTTCTGAGTGAGCAGCTGTATTTTCAAATTGCTCACCTTAGTGTTAGCAGCCCAACAAGTATCCACTATGTCAGCAGGACTCCTCTGGGTTATGACAGTTAAAGTTGAGGAAGGGACGCCATTTGGATTAAAAAATAATAATAATAACTTACACAGAATTGAGGTGGGCCCAAGGCAAAACAGTCTTCAAACCCTATCAGATGGACAGACTTTCATCTGAAAGATCTGTTACACTGAAAGACACTTTTACTTTCTGGTGTGTGGATGGACTAGCAGATACTGGAAACCCATGAGGGAAGTGGTTATAGTTTTCACAAGAGACTGGTATTCTTAGACTCTTCGATTAGGACATACGTGTGCAACCCTCCCTGAAGGGATTCATGGGAAAATCTACCAATTCTTCCAAATGTAATTAATGATTTATCATTCTACCTTTCACACAAATGAACTCAAGATAGATTGAAGACCTAAATATAAACCTTAGAAACATAATGGCTGTCAATCAAAAACAGAGACAGCCTTAGGGACATAACACAAGGCATAACTATACCACTGGACATAATGAGAAATACCACAGTATAGAAAACAAACTAGAGGTCTTGGAGTTTCTGAAAATTTGACATTTAGGCACATCATAAGAATAAAAAGAGAACACACACTGGTGAAAAATACTTAGCATCAATATATCTGATAAAGGGCTCATTTTAAACATCTCTAGAAAACTACAACACCTTAATAAGAAAAGGACAAATAGGCCAATCCAAAAAATGGGCGCAAGACATGATTAGAAAATTTACTAAATGTGTAAGGCCAGGTTGACTAGAGAAACAAATCCAGTGAAACTCAGCTGTGCAGAGGGCTTAGAAACTGCTTGACAGGTGAGGTTGATGTTGTCCCCTGGAGAGTAATGCTCAGCTGAGGGGGAGATGGTGGGGGTGTCTGGGCCATCTGGAGCAAAGATAATAAAGCCATGTTGTCATGGAACCAGAGGGAAGGGCCACAGCTTTCCCCCTGAGTCTGGTTTTAAACAGTCCTATAGACTGAGCTCCCCTACTTCTCTGAGCCCGATTCTGAGACTACTGACCTGTTTCTCCAGCTCAAGCTTTGACTCTGAGCATGTCATTGACCAAGGGCAGCCCCGCCCCTTCTCATCTCCTACGTGACTCTGCCTGCCTGTATTTTCCGGAAAAAGGACGCCATGGCCACCCTGGGTGCCTGTGCCTTACACCTGAGTACCCTGACGCTGGCTGGACTCTGACAGTGTGGAATTGGGCTGGAGCTTGTGTCACGCGGGAACAGAAGATACTCACAGAGAACCTTCAGGGAGAATGGGTCACTATGGCCGGAACTCCCTGGGTTCCTGGTTATACATTCATAATGTCCTGATTCATCCCTTGTGACATTATGTATAGTGAGAATCCTGTCGTCCATGGACAGTTCCAGCCTGGAATTGTCTGGGAGGCTCTGACTGTTTATCAACCACTGGTAGGCTGTGTTCTGAGTCTCAGGTTCACACAATAAGGTTACAGAAGCCTTGTCCTCTACAGGGTCAGAGCTGCTGCTCTTGATGGAGGGTTTGGGTAACTTCCCTGTCAGAGAAAATAAAGAAGAGATGACCTCTTTGGTTACCTTTGATTCCTGTCAAGCATCTGCCAATCAGAGCTGGCAGTGTACACCTCTCAGCCAACCTACAGTCTTTAACACATAAAGCAGGTCTTTGCATTACAAGAGAAATACCTGGCAATTGGAGTGCTCAGAATATCAGTTTTACCTGCTAATTTAATCACATGGAGGGAAAAATTCTGATTTTCTCAAATCTTAACGGAGTAGCTACATTTACTCAAGGAAAGTCACCGGACTAGAGACCAGAGATCATCCCTGGCCTCTCCTAGGCTCCTCTCTGACTGGGCTCTGGATTAACCTCAGTGTCATTATATGGACCTTGTGCTTGCTGTGGTCCCTCCAACTGATTGATTCTACGTTGATCCAACTGACAGAGTCTACATTGCTCCCACTGACAGATTCTACATTGATCCAACTGATTGGTTCTATATTGCTCCAACTGACAGATTCCACATTGTTTTTCTGAAACATAATTTTTCCTTCAAAGATCTCTAGATATCTGTAATGATGGGATTTCTGCTTGTCTTTAAATTAAAGATATGGGGCATGAGTAGAAATTATACTCAGTGAGACCAGGAATAAGCCCAGTGGTTACTCCTGTGGTCAGGCCAGGAGGCCAGAAGATGGGGAAATTCTTCTCAGTGTTTGATGAGAGGTTATGGCCCCATAGGCTTGAATCCAAGTATGGCAGTCACCTAATCTGGTGTCAATTTAAGGAGTAAGAGTGTAGGAGTGGAGTCTAGGCTCTCAATCTGGACATCGCCAGTGAGACTTCGGTGTGGGGATGGCCTTCTCCTGAGAATTCTGGGATATCTGGTACTTCCTCCTTGGAAGCAGAAGACACACCTCTCTCTCTGCTACTCCCTGGGAATCACAGCAGAAGACAAGCCACATGGACGCAACCAGACCTCGGAAGCCGGGGAAGACACAGAGAGATCCCCAATGACACTGGATCCAAAGACTTTCTACCCACGGGCCTGTGAGCTTCTGCATTCAGCATCATTGCATGTGTTTTGTGAGTCTGAAGAGGACTTTATAGATTGATATCAGAAATATGGGCTAGTATCGGACTTATGGGCTTGATCTGGTCTGGGCTGGGATGTTTTCTCAATGTTCAATTGCTCTTTCTTATACACATATGTGTGTCCATGGATTTGTTTCTCTAGTCTACCCAGACGAACACTCCAAGGAGCAAAATAGAAAACACCGAGGGAATAGCCAGGAACTGGGTAGCTTTGGAAATAGGAGCCTATTCTCGCTCCTGGATCTTTAATGTCCCTTGTTCTCTGACTGAGGACAGGTGAGGGAACCCTTACCTTTCCTGACCTAGAGTCAGGAGTTCTCAGTGCAGAGGGAATACTGGTAGGAAGGGAGGGAGAGTATAAATTTGCTGATGACCTGACCATTGTCGACTACTTATCAGTAGTGGATTTGGATATGAATTAGATGAAATGTTTAAATTTCTTCCATATCTGAAAATGATTATGAGTGACTCAAAGATCCAAGATCAATTACTGGAAAGAATTGTGCTATGGAGAATTTTAGAAGACCTCAGGCTAAGCCCTGGCATGCAGCATAGATAGGACAGTTAGAGGAAGATGCTGACGGCTGCTTGAAATCATGGGTTCCTCAGGTGGGAAGAGACAGGTGAGCCTGCTGAGGGGACAGAAGGGATCAGAGGGGAATTCCAGAGAAGACGTCAAGCTAGAAGAACCGATGTGTTAGTGAATGCAGAAAAGAAGTCCTTGACATACACTCTTCTGAGACATTGTGATTCATTCTTTCCCAAGTTCAGAGCAATTTATTCCCACTGGATCACATGTGCTCAAGGAGAGAGAGCAAAGTCCTCTCCTTTATGCTCCGGTGGGAGAGACACAGCACAGTGCCGTCCACAAACACAGTAATGACTCCCCTCCAGTGTGGATTGGCTGGATGGACGTGGAGGCCTGTGCCTGCTCCCAACTGAGTGTTGAAGTAAGGAATTGAGTTCTAAGATAAAACCTCATGATCTACTCACTTGTTCGACGCTTTCCCTTCCATCCCCTCGCATATAAATCTCTTCCTTCCAACTAGGGAGTTTCTGAGATGGAGAGATCTGAACCAGGGACTGCTTTCAGGGTCCAAACACCCAATAAGGCCACCCAAGTTGGGGGAAATGTCAGGGCCGTGGCGGCAGACAGATCTCAATGTGAAACTGATCTGATAATCATGGTCCCTGTGAACCTGATTCAGAAGTTCTTCTCTCCTTGCCTCAGTTTCCCCTCAGTAGAATCCATGAAAGGATAAATAGTACCTAGTGTTTGCAAGACTGTCTTAATTGACCTCCACATATTCCCAGTTGTCCGACCGGAAACGGGGGTCAAGAAGCTGCCCTCATCACCCGGTCAATGGTGTCTTACTGTCTGCCTCACTCGAGGGCTCCCTCCGAAGGGCAAAGAGGTCTGTGGCATCTTCTGCCCTTCCTTCCTAGGGCCCTGCCCTGCTTCTGGAGCAGTCTAATTCCTGGGGGTAGTCATCTGAGGACCTGGGTGTCTTGTCTGTCTCTGTTCTCGGGGAAGGACTCACTCCCCCAGTCAGGCACTAGATGCTCTGTGTGGCTGAGCCCAGGTTCAGGAGCTCCGAGCCTCTGCAGCCAGGAACTGGTTGCTCCCACTCAGCCTTTCCTGTGCGGTGACTATGGACCCTGCTCCGGGCTGCCCGAGACCAGTGGAGTCAGAACTAGGAGGGTCCGGGGAAGGGCCGTCTTGGGACTGAGTTTGTCTGTGAGGACCGGGAGTCTCTCAGGTCCCGGTCTGTCCAAATCCCCTGAGTGACTCCCAGGTGAAGTCCCTGGGGGGTTGGGGGAGCCCTCAGAGGGTCCTCGCTGCAGGGAACATCTGCAGGGTCTGGATTCAGGAGAGGAATCCTGATGGAAAAGGTCAAATCCAGGGATGGACGAGAGCAGTGAGTGCAGCTTAGTAACGGATCCAGACCTGTCAATCATTATCTTAAAGTAGAATTAGCCCCTCCCCATGCCCAGATGTCAGAGAGGGATGACTCACGGAATACATGGATCTGTCCCGTCAGTTTCTCAGGCACTCCGTCTGCCTTTGTTATTTGTACCATGTAGGTGCCTGTGTCTCCCAGGGTGACATTCTGCAACAGCAGGGACCCATTGGGGTATATGGTCTCTCGACCCGTGTGGGCTGGTCCCCTAGTAAATATTCCAGATGGTACTGCGTATGTTCCAATTCGATTGTTTGGTATTAGAACACTGTTCCCTTTATACCAATTGTAGAATGCAGCCTCTGCTTGTGAAGAATGGCGGAGAAGAACATCCTGTCCTTCAGCAGCAGCGCGGGGCACGGATTCAATGGTGAGTTGTCCTGTGGAGGGTGGGATCCAGGAAAGTAACAGTAAGACTAGAGGGAAGAGAGAGAGAGTGACGTCAGCACGTGGACCAGGGTGTTGGGAGGGAAAGCTGGGCCCTTGAGTCTGAGCAGGCGTCTCTCAGCCCTGGGACAAGGAGTGAGCTTCTGAAGGTCAGCCCTGCTGAGTGCCTTTGATGCTGTCAAATTTCTCGTTTCTCACACTCTCCCCAGGTCTCTGCAGGGCTCACTCATTCATGGTCCTCAGGTGTCTGCTCGCGCTGAGCAGCATCCCGGGAGGTCGCCTTCCCTGACATCTCCTCTACAGACCTCTGTCCCCACGACTGTCCTGTCCCTGCTCTGTGCTGCCCTCCACGGTGCTTATGAACCTCTGACATCACGTGCAAGCCTGTGTACTTGTCTAGCTTCCCCTCCGCTAGATGGGAGCCTCATGAGAACGAGGTTATTCCCTGGCCTTTGCTGACCCCCGTGCCTAGACGGGCCTCAGAGTCCTGTCTCAGCAATCAGTGAAGGTTCCCAGGCCCTTCCAGGTCCTGGTGTTCCTTACCTCATGCCTGGGATTGGCCGGCAAGGACAAGGTTTAGTCACCAGACACTTTCCCAGCTATCAGGTGGAAGGAAATTGCTATAAGCGCCTATATACGTTTCAAAAATCCATCGTCAGCAGTTGAATGGACCAACTGTGCCATGGAAGCAAAATGGGGCTTTCTGCTCCAGACAAGACGGACAGCCCTGGAACTCAAAGGGTCGTTTCTACCCCGTCCTGTTGTCACGTTTGACGTCATGACAGTGCATTTTCCTTTTCTCTCGTTTTTCCCTCCAATTCCTGTGAAAGGACATTTCCTCTGTCCTCTCTAAGTTAGCACACATTTCCTGTGTCCTCTCTAATCCAGGGAGATTTCTGCCACCTCCCAGACGTTTGACCTGCTGAGGAGACCCTAGCTTCTCTCTGTTCTTCCCACCCCCACCCCAGGGAATTGCCCCCTCTTACCTGTGAGCAGTGTCCCCTGCCAGGAGCAGTAACCTTTGCTGGGAGTGACTGAGGGGGGCTCCATGGGTCCCTGCTGCTCTCTGCACCCGCCGTGGGAAGAACTCCGGCCCCAGAACTGCTCACCAAGCTGGTGCCCCAGAGGTGTCAGCTCTGCTGTCTTCCTTCCTCTGAGCACCAAGCCCTGTCCTGGGGCAGGAGCTTCCCCTGGTCATGTGGGCTGGGTGTGGTCTCTCTTGAACTTCTCTCTTCTCCCCTCCCTTTTCATCACTGCCTCTAAGTTCACATCTTCCCTTGCTCTTCTGACCACAAGTGGGAAGCACTGCTGTTTGCCTTCTGAGCCTGACTCGCCCGCGTCACACCCTGGTCGCTGGGGGAGCTCAGTGCTGGGAGGCGAGCCTCTGGGCTCTGTCATTCCCAGAGTCCTGCTTCAGGATGCACACTTGGCTCTCCCACCCAGTGCCTTTCAACCCCTTTGGTTGCGCCCTTCAGAGCAGGAGCTCCAGGCGTAACAGCAGGACTGCCTGTCACCGGGAACTTCATGTGGTTGTGCAGCAGAATCTCTTGATGAAGCATCAGGTATCCGGGTGATGCCCTTGAAAAGTGGCCCTCGATATTAACTGTGAACGCAGATTAAGGTGAGGAGGTCCTGCAGGGTGAGGGCCAGGGACATGGTTGGTGAGGGTGGCTTCTCACCCTCTCCTGTGTACGTGGAAGTCTGAAAGCCAAGACCCAGCTCACTGCCATGAAATTGATTAGGACTGGACCCACTCTATAAAGGGGGCTGGAGACTGTAACCCTTTGCGGGGGCAGAGAGCCTCATCTTTGTCCCACTAATGGGCTTGAATCTTTGACCTTGCACTTGGTAATCCAACACCTGATGACCACCACCACAATCACCATCCCTCACCACCTCCACCTCCACCTCCACCTCCTCCACCACCTCCACCTTAACCTCCACCACCTCCACCTCCACC